GAGCACCGTCGGCCTGCGCGGCACAGCTCGCGTTACAACCTTGATTTGACCATTTGCGCAAAAATGTACCTCTCGGTGCCTTCCAGAGGCCGCCGCCTCGCGCCTCGCCTCCGTCACCGCCGCCCTCCATCTCGCAGCGGCGCGTCCCTCTGATGGCGCGGGCGCCTCGCTCACCGGCGCCTCGCCGCCGCCCCCCCCCCCTTCTTGCGCCGCTCCGCTCGTGGCCGCCGCCTCCCCTGTCAATCCCGCCGCCTCCCCTGTCATCCCGCCGCCCGCACCACCGCCGCCACCGCCTCGCGCCTCGCCGCCGCCGCCACCGACCGCCCTCCCCTGCGCCGCTGAGCCGTGAGCGCGGTGCAGGGGGCGAGCCCCCGCTGCGCAGCCTCACCGCAGTGCACTGCGCTCTCCGCACCCCTGACGATTAGTGAGGAGGTGGTGTTGCACAGCATGGAGCTCGGCGAGCGTTTAGCGAGCCCCCTCAGCTAGTACATACATAAACACGGGGGAGGTATATTCTTGCATTTTTGCAGCCATGACGACAGGGCTCACCGCAGGGCTCACCTCGCTCGACCTGTTCAACGAGCTACAGTCCCGCAAGAACTGGCCGCACGGCGGCCCTCCGCTCGTCCTGGATCTGCGTTCCGTCGAGAGCTTCTCCGAGCGCCGCATCCGCGGCTCGCACCACGCCGTCGTTGGCGCGAGGGGGCGCTGCTTGCGAGATCGCAGCGGGCTCCTGGTTGCCGCAGGGAGGGCAGGCCCTCGGACAGGTCGGAGAGGCTGTCCGAGACGCTCCCGCCCCTCTCCTCCGGCGAGACTCGCGGCCGGAACGGCTAAGTCCGCAGCTGCTGCAGCGGCGCTTCAGCGGGCCGCAGCAGCTTGCGGGGCGGGCGGGACGGCCGCGCCTCAATGGCCTCGCAGCTGCCGTGTGCGCTGGAGGAGCCACCAGCCGCCGACGCAGCATCGCCTCCCGCCGCGTCGCCTTCCGCCGCGTCGCCTCTGGCCGCACTGCCTGCACTGCCCGCGGCCGCCTCGCCTTGCCCTCCGCCGGCGCTCGGGCAGCCTCTGCCACACGCCGGTGCCGGGCTGTGCCCCGCGAAGGGCGGGTCCGCCTTCTTCTTCTTCTCCTCCTCCTCCTCGGGCCGAGGGCAGCGAGACGGCGAGCGGGGCTGGGGCGGGGGCGATTCGTTGTCTGCTAGCGACGACTCCGCCGTCTGGCACCGGAGCCGAGCCTCGCGCGCCGCCGACCCAGTCCGGCCCGGCCGTGCCGCCTTTGGATGCGCATTCGCGCCCGATTCAAGGCGATGCTGCAGGCGAGCAACGTCAGGCGCGCCGGGCGCGGCGGACGCTCGCGCGGCGGACGCTGCGGCGGTGCCAGCCAGCGCTGGTGCGGTGCGAGCCATCCGCTGGCGGACGGGCGCGCGCGCGGCGCCGCTCGGCGGCGGCTCGAGCCGCCACTCGCCGCTGCGCTGCCGCGACAGCGGCGGCCGTGCGGGGCGAGAGCATTGGATGCCGAAGAGCCTTTGCTGGCGTCCGTCTCGCGGGCGTGGTGGGCCGACGCTGCCCTCTCACGGCTATCGCTTTGGCCGGAGGCGGCCGCATGAGAGCGGAGACCGCGGCGTTGTCTTGGAAGGGGTTGTGCGCCGCACGGGCGCGCTCGTGCGGCGGAGGCTTGGCCTCGCGGTGACGCGCGCTGCGGCTTTTGGGCTGCGAGGTGCTGTCAACCGCCGGCTCGCTCGCTCGCTCGGGATCTGGCGGGATCGGCACGGGTCCAAAGTGGGGTCGCGGGTGGCCATGCGAAGTGGTTTCGCGCACTGCCCGCTGAAGCCCCCCCGAGGCGCCGGAGCGTGACCGAGTGTCGCCCCATGACCCCCGGCGCCGGCCCGAGCGCTGAGACCGAAGGTGAAGCCAATGCGCGCGCGCCACAAGCGCGGCACTGCTCGGCTACGGCATGCTGACACGGATCCCTATCCTCTCAGGTGGCTATCGCTCGGCCGGCGATATTGGATCTCGCACGCGACGTCGACGACTGACAGGTAACCGCACTTTGTCAATGTGCAGGTCGAGCTACCAACCGTTGCGGAGCGGTTCAGCCTCGGAAGCCATACTATGCAGCGGCGTGGTGAGGCGCGGATTAGGTAGGAGGGCATGCGCTCGCACACATGAGTCCGGGAGAGCTCCCCGCCGGCGCCTTGCACCCGGCCCCCAGCCAGGTCCGCCTTGCCCCACCACGACCGCCCTGCGGCCCTTACGCAGGCGTCCAGCACCGACGTCGTTTGCGAGCGTCGGGTGTTCTCTAGCCCCGTCACCCACCGCGCCATCACCGTTCGCCTCGTCGCGTGCAAAACGCTCGCGTCTCCGCCACCGCCGGCCGCCTCCGCGTTTCCCTGCGCCGACCACCAGGGGGACGCTTGCGCCTTGCCCCCGGCCTGACGCGCGACCCTGCGCAGAGACGGCGCGCTCCGGCACGGAGCAGCGACCACCTAGGCGGTCGCTGCTCCGCCCGCGCACCGCTCCCGCCGCCGCCGCCGCTCCGTCCTTTCCCATCAGTGTGTCTCGTGTGTAAGAGTGTGCTGTCTGTCACCTGTGGAGTGGTGGTCCCCTCACGTGGTCGTGTGCGGTCTCCTCCGAGGAGTCTGCAGTCTCCTGTCTGTCGCGTGTCGTCTGTCGAGACTGTCGTGTGCGCGCGGCGATCGCACGTGTAATTCGGGGAGGCCTGCGCACTTCTAACGATGCACAAAAAAACGGGCCACACAAATGCCGTTTAAAGGACAGGCACGGGACGACTGACGAGACGCGCCCGGCCGACACACGCCGACACCCATGCGGCAACCATGCGCCATGGTGCGGCTCTGTGCGGAGACCGACACACAGGAAGGCGCACGATGCATACAGTGATCGCCTGTCATGCGCCAGCACCGACGTCGGGCGGGAGAGGAGCTCCAGCCAACAGTAGTGGCGAGCCAGCCTGCGCTGCACGATGAAATAGTACTCGTGCTGACGCATCCTCACCCGAGTCATTTGCCTTTTCCTGCGACGGGAAGAAGAGGTGCGAGGCTGTGAAGAAAGAGCTTGATCGCGCCACCAACGTCAACGTCGGGTGCAGTGATGAGCTCGAGCAGCTCTCGTCGAGCAAGCTCTGCCTCCGAGCTCTCGCAGCAGCCATGCGCGTGCGTGCAGCCCAGAATCTCGCTCAGCGCCTCCGTCTTGGGGTTTGAAGCAGGTCCGCCGTAACGCTCCGCGCCTGGGCCGGCGGCGGGCGGTGTAGAAGGCCCGCGATGGCACCGTCGTGTGCCTCTTCCGTCCCACCTTTAATTGGTGACTACCCTCGCTGTCGCGCGGCCGCTTGGCAGGCGGCGCCGACGCTGCCGTTGGGTCTGTCCGTGGCCGCCGCGTCACTCGGCACGGAAGCCTCCTTGCCGTTGGACATGCCGGGGGGGTGTGAGGGCCTGGAGGGTGCCACAGACGCACAGGGGAGCGCGCGCCGCCGAAGTGGTTTGGCGCACACCTCGATGCTGCACCGAGGGTTTTACCAAGCTGCCAACCCTATTCACATAAACGCACAACTCCGGACCCAAGACGCACTATTCACGCACTGTGCGCAAAAGACCACACCAACCAACCAACTGTTTCCGGGCCCGAGTGCGCGAAGTGCGGGACCAGCCAACCAGCCCCCCCGCCCCCCTGTGAAAGCACGAAGAAATCTCTCGGAAGTGTCCGCTGGCCGCGAGATCTGCGAGAGTGTCGCGCGGGCCGCGAGATCTGCGAGTGACCTAAGGCTGGGCGCCCACGATGCCCGTGCTTTGCGACCTCATCGGACCTGGCGCACCACTGCGCACTGGACGCAACGACTGCCTCAGTGATCGGCCTACCGCGCGCCGGGCCTCGCGGCAGCCCGTGGCGGTTCGTGCGCGCTGCGCTTGCGGTGACGGCGGCTCACGACCCCATTGCCGAGAGGGCTAAGGCAACAGCGAAGGCAGCAATTGCCTCGGTGCTTGCCACGTATAAGGACAAGGCTGTGTAAAAACGGTTATGTGTGTAATGATCTGTGATCTGTAAGGGTCCGCCCGCAGGCGCATTTTGTATACCGAGGCGGTGCCCGGTGCCGAACCTGTCGGACCTTAAGACAGCATTGTAGATCCCTGCACCCTGGGCGAGGGTGGTGGCGTCCCCGTCGGGAGGGGGCAGGGGCTGTCTGGTTTGTGGTTATGTGTGTAATAGACAATATGTGTGCGGAGAGTGCGGGACCAACCAACCAACATCTGGAGGCCTGGAGTGCGCAGAGTGGGGGACCACCCAACCAACCCAGGGCCCGGAGTGGGTGAATAGGGTTGGCAGCTTGGTAAAACCCTCGGGTGCTGAGGGTGGCCACCCCTCACTTTCCGGACTGTGAAAAAGTAGCCTGACACCGCAGGCTCGCAGTGGACGCAGTCCCTGCCCAAGAAAGAAAGGAATAAAACGGACAACAAGGGAGGGATGGCGAATGGGAGGACGGCACGCCGACAATGCCAGAAATGGCTTTTTTGCACTCTTTCGTGCCACTCTCTCGCCGGTGCGCGGGGCATGGCCTCCCGCGCGGCTCGCGCTCACTCGGCCTGCCTCCGCCTCGCAGCTGGCTGAGCACGCCATGGGTCCGCCGGGTGCGGCGCTGCTTGCTCGCTCGCTGCGCTGCACAGAAGCTGTGAGAAGCAGAGGGGCCTCCTGAGCTTGAGCATTGCGCAGCGCGGCTGCTGGTGCTCGAGGGCGGCCGTGCGGTGGCGTGAGGGCCTGATTGGAGACATTGTTTGTCTGATTGGTGGTGACCACCTGCTGCATCAGCGTGCGCAGCATGCTCCCTCACCCGGTGCTGAGACATGCTGGTGGGCGACTGGCGCCAGCTTCTCAGTGCTGTCCTTGGCAAGGGAGGGATGGCGAATGGGAGGACGGCACGCCGACAATGCCAGGCATCTCTAAATTCTTTTTCCTCAAGTCGAGGATCTGCTGCATCTCCGGCGAAATACACAACACATACATGGCGACTGCACTCTGCATCGCGGCGGCGGTCACCGCCTTCAGCGGCGCGTCGTCCGCGTCGGGCGTGGTGCAGCGGCGCGCGCCTCTCGCTGCCGTCTCGATGGGCGGCAACAAGAAGGTGTACTCTTTTGAGGGCGTCGACGGCGGCCTGCTCGAGGCGCGGGAGGTCTCCATCACGAAGCCGCCCGTGTACCTGCTCACGCGGCTAAACGAGATGAAGGTGGCGACGGGGCTTGCGGAGAGCGGCTTGCTCTCCGCTGCCGAGGAGGCGGGCGTCTTCTCCAAGCTGGAGAGCGCCGGCGCCTTCAGCACCGCAGAGAAGCTCCTGCCGCTGGTCGAAAAGTTCAAACTGCTGTCGCTCTTCGAGGAGCTGCTCGAGGTGGAGGCGGGGCTGCTCTTCACCGCGGCCAACTTCCTGATCGTCTTCACCCCCGTCGTGCTCACGCTCCAGATCTGCGGCTTCGTCCCCTTCCCGCAGGGCCCCGTCATCCCAGTCGAGGCGCTTGCGTGCCTCTCGACGGGCGCCGCCGGCTTCGCGCTCTTCGCGACGGCCTTCATCATCGGGAACCTGCAGGAGGAGCCCGCCTCGTTCCAGCAGTGAAACGCTTGCCGGTCCGCCCCGCCTCCTTTTTTCTCCGCGCCCGTTCCGCACTGAAGCCACTCGGTGCACGCGCCAGGTTTGACACCATGACAGGGCTGCGCCCAGTTCTACCAGCGATCGTCTCGCGCCAGCCGGTGGTTATGAAATAGTGGGGTAGGCGTTGCTCGTTTGACGTTTGTCTCGCGAGGGGCTTTCAGAGAGACGCTTTTTGTGCATGTGTTGTGAGAGTTGCCGCGCAGACTCACACACTTTTCGTGAATCTCGTACTGGGTCCCCACCGCCCACGCCGGTTGCAATACAGCAATGTCGGAGATAACCGGGGCGTGGCCTGTGCGCGCGCTGTGGCTGTGCTAGAGGGTGCGCAGCGCCCCAAAAAATCCGCTAGTGTGTGGTGCGCGACATCTGCTCCAAGGAAAAACCCTGGCAGATCTCCCTGGCCGCAAGCCGCCGGGCAAGGCGGTCAAGCGCAAGCCTGACCGCCAGCCCGCACCCAAGGGAGGTGGACCCCCACCCCCCTCTCCCAAGGTGAACAAGAACAGGCTGAGCGCGCTGGGCGCTGGCCCTTCTGGCACCCATCAGTCCATTCTTTGCTGGCTTCTCACCCCATACTCTCTGGCATTTTTCTAGCCGACATCTACGTCTATATGCCGATCGTGCTCCGCAACGAGTGGATTCGGCGCCGTGGCTCAGTCTGAGCGCACGGCTCAACCTGAGCACATGGCTCTAGGTCTGAGCGCGCGATCTGAGTACGTGGCTCGGTCTGTGTTTCGCCGGCAGCTGTAGATTTGTTACCTGTCTCCTGTCTACGGATGATCGATCATTACTCTGAGTCTCTCTCTCTCTCTCTCTCTCCCTCCCTCCCAGGCCCGCTGGGAGCGCTGCTTTGCGCCCTGGCCCTGGGTGTGAGGTTGCCAACAGCACTCCAAGTGCTCAAAGGCACCCCTGTCCCCTGCGCTGTGCCTCTGGTTCGTTCGTGCGTCGCCCATCTCGGACTCAGGGCCGGTGCTTTGACGACGCAGTATATACAGTGTGCTTCGAGGTAGTATGAACTCAGAACGGCCCCCCGAGAGCGCCTCTTCGACGCCCACGGGTCCCGGGGGGTCGGAGGGTTGCGAGAGGGCCCCAGCTATTTTTTGTTTGAATCCCGGGGGCCGTTAGAACATGAATATTGACGTTCCACGTGCCCGTCCCCAGCAAGGACAACATGCTAGCCCAGCAGGCCGCTCCCACCGCCGCCCGCGGCGGAGGCAAGGCGGCAAAGGGTGGCAAGGGCGGCGGCAAGGGTGCTGGCAAGGGTGGTGGCCGTGTGTGTGGCGCACCAGACCCACTTTCCGCCGCCGCCCTCAGACAAGCGATCCCACGACAGCGAGTGTGGGGACTACATGATCCGTACGTGACGGGTGGAGGGGCCCGTCCGCAGAGCTAGGCGGCGCGCCCCACTTGCCAGTGCGCCACCGATTTTCTTCATTTTTATCTATCATGTTAGCGGCGCGTCGGCCCCGACCAACGCCGCGCCTGTCGCCGCAGTGCACGTTTCGCCGTTGGCTGGCCAAGAAGAAGAAGGGCGGCAATCGCGGGACCAAGGGCGGCGGGGGCAAGGGCGGCGATGCGGCGCGAACCAAGGGCGGCGAGGGCACGCCCGGGCAGTTTGTGGCACGGCTCGAGCATGTGCACAAGGTGCTGCCGGGCGGGCGTGTCCTTTTCAACGACGTCTCCCTCGGCCTTCTCTCGGGCGCCAAGGTTGGTATTCTGGGGCCGAATGGCGCTGGCAAGTCAAGCCTTCTCCGCCTGCTAGCCGGCACAGACTCTGAGCATGAGGGCAACGTCTGGCGCGCTCCGTCGCTGCGGGTGGGTATGCTGGAGCAGGAACCGCAACTGGACGAGTCGCGCTGCGTCCTCGACAATGTCCTCGACGGCGTCAGCGACGCCCGCAACGCTCTCGATCGCTTTGAGGCTGTGAGCGCACTCATCGAAGCTGGCGGCGGCGGCGGTGGCGGCGGTGGCGGCGGTGGCGAGGCACGACCGCTCGAGTCGCTGAGCCTTGAGGAGCTGCTGGGCGAGCAGGCGGCGGCGGGCGACGCGGTGGAAGCGCTCGACTGCTGGAATCTCCGCCTCGAGGTGCGCACCGACATGACACTTCCTAGACTTTTTTCTCGACCTCGACGCCCTCAGGATGCTCCCAGCGTCCGTGGTAGCAGGCAGTCTGCACGGTCCACCTGACCCGTCCCTCCGCTGGAGCCTCGAGGCGCGCACTGCGATGGAGGCCCTCCGCTGCCCTCCCGGCGAGGCGATGCCGGCGGCCCTAGATGCCGAAGATTTGGATATACGGCTGTGCGACCCCTGCACCGGCCCACCAAGGCACGAGGACATGGCCATGTCGGGCCTGCAGACTCTGCGCCACCACGTTTCTTAGGCCGGCGGTGCTGTCGGGTGGGCAGCGGCGGCGCGTCGCTCTGTGCCGGCTCCTTCTCAGCAAGCCAGAGCTGCTGCTGCTCGACGAGCCGACCAACCACCTCGACACAGCCTCCGTGGCGTGGCTAGAGGCGTGGCTCGCCGCATTCCGCGGCGCGGTGGTCGCGGTGACGCACGACCGCTACTTCCTCGACAATGTCGCGGGGTACATTGTCGAGGTGGACGCTGGCTTCGCGCGGCCGTTTCGCGGAAACTACTCGGGGTGGCTCAAGCACAAGGCCGAGGCGATGCGTCTCGAGGACTCGCGCGAGGAGGCGCGGGACATATTCGGGACACTTGCACTGCCCTCGCTGCACCCGTTCCCCAGAGGGCTGCCGGCGCCTCGCTACGCCCCGCCGAGACACTCCCCAGCGGCCGCCGTGCCCGCACGGCCCTCCCCTCCCTCGCCTCTGCCTGAGGCTTGGCGCCCGCCCGTCTCGAGGCGCGCGCCGCGAGGCTGAAGGGCGAACTCGCGTGGATCAGCCAGAACGCCAGGGGCGGCCGCACCAAGTCAAAGGCGCGGCTGCGCTCGTACGAGAAGCTGCTCGACGAGGCGCGCGACGCCCGCAACGCCGAGCGCGTGCAGAGCGGCGCCATTTCGATCGTGCCCGGCCCGAGGCTCGGGAACCAAGTGCTGTCGGCGCACGGGCTGACAAAGTCGTACGGCGAGCGGACTCTCTTCCGTGAGCCCCCCCCCCCCCCCACCAGACACACCACCAAACACACCACAAAACACACCACACACACACACACACACACACACACAGACGCGTCTGGGACAGTGTCCGTGGTGTGTGCCGCCATAGGCGACCTCTCCTTTGAGCTCCCGCCCGGCGCCGTGCTCGGCGTCGTCGGCGCCAACGGCCTGGGCAAGTCGACGCTCATCCGACTCATTGTCGGCGAGGAGGAGGCCGACGCGGGCGAGGCGCGATCTCCCCGTCATCTCCGCCCCATCCCCCCAGATAGCTCATTTCGACGAGTGCGCGGGATAGCGCGGTGGCCGTCGCACCCCCACCCGCCCGCTGTGCCCGCCGCCGCCCTCGCCGCCGCCGCCTAGCCCACCGCCATCGTCGCCTCCGCCGCCAAGCCCACTTCCCCCATCAACCCCACCTCCTTCGCCTCCGCCGCCCTCGCCCCCGCCGCCCTCGCCTCCGCCTCCTTCTCCGCCGCCACCGTCGCCCCCACCTCGCTCCCTCGCGCGTTCCAGGTGCGGCTCGGCGCGACGGTCTCTCAGCTGCGTGAAGCAGCCGCGTCCGCGAGGCGGTCGTGACTCGCCCATGGCATGCTCCATAGGTTGCTCTCGGCTACGTGGACCAGTCGCGCTCCGGGCTCGACGCGCGCAACAGCGTGTATGAGGAAGATTGCGCGGGGTTGCTTGCTTCAGCGTGTCCGCGACATCTCCATGACACATCGGCGACGTGCCCCGCAGGAGATCGCGCAGGGGGTGGACTTTCTCACCGTGGGCGAGCGGGAGGTGTCGATGCGCGCGTACGTTGCCGCCTTCAATTTGCGCGGCACGATGCAGGAGAAGCTCGTCTCGAACCTCTCCGGCGGCGAGCGCGGGCGCGTCCACCTCGCAAAGACGCTCCGGCGCGGGTGCAATCTGCTGCTGCTCGACGAGCCGACCAACGACCTCGACGTTGATACGCTCCGCTCGCTCGAAGAGGCGATCGGCGCTTTCGCGGGCTCGGCGGTCATCGTCTCTCACGACCGCTGGCCCCCCTTGGCCGCGCTGCGACCGCTGAACACGACCGCGCCCGTGACATGCCCGCGACGTGCCACGTAGGTTCCTCGACCGCGTCTGCGACCACACACTCGCCTTTGACGCGGCAGGCGGTGCCGACTTTTTCGAGGGGTCCATCAGCGACTACGACGCGTGGAGAGCGAGGAGACACGATTCGGGTGAAGATTGCGCCACTTCCGCTGCCGGGTGACGCGTGGCGGGCTGTGCCCCGTTTGGACGGCGGCGCGCGCGCGCGCGGCGATTTCCACCTGCCAAGCGACGCTCACTGCCCTGGAGCAGGGACGGCGGGAGGCCTTCACAGAAGGGACCTCCTTTGTTAAGCGACGCAGAATCCAGTTTGGAGGGCCGTTTAATCCAAGTACGGGGCATACCACCACACTATTCTTTGCACTTTGGTGAATAAATAAAAAGAAAACACGGACACATCTCACACTGAGAGCGAGGGAGATGTGGGTAAAAAGGAACAGGTTCCACCCCGTGCGGTCTTTTTGTGCAGGGTTCCTCTCTGTTTCTTTGGGGACGGTCGCGTGGATGCGTTAAATTATTCTTTTATTGCCCGCCCCCCCGCCGTTCTCTCTCACCGCCGTGCCAAAAGCAAAACACGCGCAAAGGCCCTCAAAGATTCACAGATGTCAGATCAGTGCTCCATCTCCATGTCCATGTCCATATGTGCCCGACCCGCGAGGCCGCGGCGGGACACCGGCGCGCACTGTGCTGTGGATGCTTACACTTCACCTCCAATCTGTTGGGTCCATCGTGCAAGATCCCCCTCCCCGCCCGCCCCCCGCCCCGCCCGCCCTAGAGCGCCCTACAGCCGTACACACCACAAGATTGCACACACCAGTTTTGATGGAAACTCCATTACCGAGTATATCGTCTAATGTGATCACTCGTGCCTTCGCCTGCCTGCTGGTGTCACGAAGCACATCGAGCAAAGATGAGTGCTCGGTCGGCGCGCACCAAATGTGGCAACACCCCGTTTGCCTCCCAGCCCTTTGGCGCTACGGCAGCCCTCCGAGCCGGCCGCGCGGATACAGGACGGCCCTCATGCCACCAGTCCCGATGTGGACTGCTGCTTTGCTGCCCGCCCCGCGCGGCTGAGCGCTCCTCTGATCTCCCGTAGATGCGCATGAGGTTACGCACGCGCCGTCTTGGACTCGGAACGCAGCCTCCGTCGGTCGTGCTCGAATGCCAACGAGGTCTGGGCTCCTGCCGGTAGTACGGGCTGCTTGCCAGCAGGAGGTCGAGCGAGTGGAGATAGTCGTTGTGGCCGGCACCGGGCCGTTCACGGAGCTTGGCGTGGGGTAGGGTGTCGTGTACAGTGCGCGCCTTTGGACGCGTCACCGCCGAGCGCGGGCGCTTCAGCTGCTTCTCATCTACCTTCTCGACGCGGGGCATGCAGTGGTGCAGCGTGGTCGCAAGTGTTCCTCCCAGCTGATGCTTGGGCTCGATCCTCACTTTTGAAGCGAGCGACGCCGTCTCCATGCTCAGCTCCGACGTTGCTGCCGTCACTATGGCTTCTGCCTTAGCATGCAACGGTTGAGCCGCCTCTTGCGAGTTTACTGCTGACCGTATGATGTCGTTGACCGTCTTTCCCGCTGTGTGCTCTTCTACAGCGGTAGTGGTAGCTCCCGTGCTCGGGGTGGTAGCTACCATCCCGATGATGTCCTCCTCACTTGCTGCTGCTATCACTGCCACGGTCGTCACAACCGTTGCCTCGGCTGCAGCAGCCACAGCCGCGGTCACAAGGTTCGTCTCAGCCTCAGTAGCCATAGCCGCGAGCTGAACTGTGACTGCCTCGGCTCGTGCTGCGATTACTCCCGGCTCTGCCGCATTGGCTGCCTCCGCCGCAGCCGCCACCGTCGCCTCGGCAGCGTCCGTTGCCAAGCACTCCGCCCTCGCCTCCGCCTCGGCAGCGTCCGTTGCCAAGCACTCCGCCCTCGCCTCCGCCTCGGCCGCCAGCAGCTCCCCCTCCGCCCTCGCCTCCGCCTCGGCCGCCAGCCGCTCCCCCTCCGCCCTCGCCTCCGCCTCGGCCGCCAGCCGCTCCCCCTCCGCCCTCGCCTCCGCCTCGGCCGCCAGCCGCTCCCCCTCCGCCCTCGCCGCAGCGGCCTTGGCGACCACTTCGGCTGCGGTGACATCGGTTGCCTCTAATGCGACTGCTGCAGCCTGTGCCGCCGCGGCCGCCTGACCATCCGTGCCGGCGACTGCGGCGATCTCTTCTTCTGAGTCGGCGATCGCCCATTCTCCCTCGGGCAAAGGTTGCAAGCTCGCCGTCGGTAGGACGCCGCGCCTGCCCGATAACCAGCACTCTGACCACCCCGGGGGTGCCGCCACAGGGAGCAGCCACAGGCGCTGCCCCTCCTGCGCAACCAACTCGCCCTCCCCCGATGTCACGGAGGTCCTCCTCATCACGACGCAGGAAGATAGCACCACAAAGCTCTCTGGAATTAGGCCCGAGCGTCCATCGGCGCCTCTCACCACCAACAACCAACCTGGAAGGCGGGGGTGGGGTGGGCATTAGGCCGGGCTCGGGGTCAGGACTGACAGTGCCAGCCGCGGGCATGTCCACCTGCGATGTCCATCAGGGGCTGCTTTCGCTTGACAATGATGACCTCACCCTTCTGCGCGCTCACCTCGTTGGCGCTCTCGGCGGTGAACGACGCCCGCATCAGCCCCGGCCGCCCCGTCTCCCTCGCCCTCTTGAGCCGCTCGTCGGTCCCAGGCCGCGACCGGCTTCCCCCAGCCGTACCCGGCCGGCTCGATGACCGGCTTCCCCCAGCCGTGCCCGGCCGGCTCGATGAGCGGCTGCCAGATCGCGAATCCGTGACAGATACGATCGTGACCGCCGCTGGCCGATCGCGACGGTCAGCCAAGAGGTCACCCTCCGGCTGCCCACGCCCACAGCCGTCGCTGCCAACCGCAGGGACGTCCGCCAGGGACAGCTCGACGTACGATGCCGGAACGAGCCCTGTCGTGCTGCCGTGTCGGGCGAGCAGCCAGCCTTCTGCGACCGCCGTCGAGAGTACGGCCACCTCCGCACCGCACGGCACCGAGAGCTCGTTCTCCTCCTCGGCGCTGAAGTCTGCCAGGACACGAGCGCACGCGTTGACGGCTCGCCCATTCGTTGGCATGGTGGCAGGCACCGCTGGGGGGCCGAGGAATGTCACAGGCACGAGTCCTTCTTCGCCATTGCGATTCCTCGCCCATGCCCAACCTTCTGGAGCGGCGCGGCTGAACACGTCGATGAGCTCGCCCTGCCCGAAAGAGAGCTCGTCCTCCTCTTGCGCCTCGAAGTCGCCGAGGGCAGCGCGGACGAACCGGAATGGCTCTGCCATCCGTCAGCGCGACGTTACGCAAATTGCGACTTCTTTTGAGAGGGCGTCGCTTGCGAGAACTGCGTGCGAACACAACCGGAGCGGCACGCTTCATCTGCTAGGCTCAGGAGTGGTGAATAAATCTCGAATGTGTTGTTTTTGCCCCCCCCCCCCGCCCCGCCCGCCCGCCCGCCCGCCCGCTTCCCGCCCCGCACGCGAACCCACCCTACCCTACCCGAGTGAGTGACACACCCTACCCGAGTACTCGAGTAGGTTCGAGTACCGGGTACCGCTCCTCCGACTGTGAGCTCCACAAATCCATCTCTTCGCGGGAGACACCCAGAGCATGCTGACAGCGCTCGCATCGAGCTGCTCCATCGCACCGACGCCGCCACGGACTCTGCCGCCGATTACTGGCAACGCGTGCGCTCTCGGTTACGACTTTGGCACGAGCGGTGTGCGCTGCGCTATCGTCGATGCGTCGGGCGAGATCGTTGCGAACCCGCCCGGCTATTCCTGGGGCGTAGCGGGCGAGCGCGCGCAGGAGGCGTCGGATTGGGAGGAGGCGCTGTTCTCGCAGCTGGCAGCGCTGCCTGCCGACGCCCGCGCTCGCGTGAGCCGCATCGCGGTGAGTGGCACGAGTGGGTCGATGCTTCTTGTCGACGGCGACGGGGCACCCGCCGCCAGCCGCGGCAGCCCACGGATGTATGACTTCTCGGTAAGCAAGCAGGCCGTCGGCGATAGCGGCGAGGCTGCTCTGGCGCTGCTGCGCCGCTGCACGCCCGAAGGCCGCCCCAGCTCTGGCGGACGGCGGCTCCGGCTTGGCTTGAGGATGGTGGGAGACTGCCACATAGGCCACCCGGTTCGCTCAGCCACCTCAGCGCTCGCGAAGCTGCTCGCGTACCACTTTGAGTCGCCGCTGGCTGGATCCGAGCGGCTCGCTCACCAGGTGGCCGTCGTCTTAGGACACAGCACAGCACAATTACACAAACCTTTCTCTCTCTCACACCCACACACAACAACACACAACTCTCCGAGCACGGTCCATGAAACAGGCGGACTACGTCGCCTCGCGCCTGACCGGAGGAGCCATCGCCTCCGACTGGCACAACGCGCTCAAGCTCGGTTTCGACGTCCGCGCGCTCCGCTACCCGGAGTGGCTCACGGGCGGCGAGATTGGCGAGATCGCAAGGGGCCGCCTTCCCCGTGTAGTGCGGCCGGGAGAGCCGATTGGACCGGTGAGCGACAAGCTGGTGGCCAAGTGCGTCCGTCAGCCCGCGCACGATAGCGTGGAGGGCGACCGCACGGCCGAAACACGCCTCTGCCCTCAAGGTACGGGTTGGCCAGCGGCTGCCTCGTCGTTGGAGGCACGACCGACTCGATCGCCGCTTTCCTTGCAGCCGGCGCCGACTCCGTCGGTGACGCGGTCACGTCGCTCGGCTCGACGGTCGCCATCAAGCGGCTCTCCCTAGATGCGGGACACGTCGCGGTTTTCCGCAGCTCTGCGGCACTGGCAACGCACATGGCCAAGGCAACAGCTGCTAGTCGTGCAGTTTGAGCGGCAAAGGAGTCGCCTTCTTTGGGCTGGCTAAACTTGGTTTGTGGCGCGCCCACCCACCGCCTAGAGAGGACGTCAGCGGCGGGCCATTGGGGGGCTGGACATGCCTCTCTGCCCCGGCGTGTCCAGTTGGAGGCTGTAAATCCCCCCCCCCCCCCCCCCCGTTCTCCGCACCCTAGGCTGCTCTCGGACGTCCCTGCCGACGACGCGTCCACCGGCGTGTACTCGCATCGGTTGGGCGATCGCTGGTTGGTCGGCGGCGCATCGAACGCCGGCTGTGCATGCAGTGTTGCGCGAGCAAGGCTTCAGTGGCGACGAGCTCGCGCGCTTGTCCGAGGAGATTGATCCGTTGGCGCAACCTCCGTGCACTGACTACTACCCACTTTCGTCGCTCGTTGTCGGAATACACCCCTCGCTCGCCCTCCACGCCCCGGCGCGGCCGCCGTGGCCTCAACGGCGACGCCCCGTGCTAGGCGAGCGGTTTCCGCGGCCCGACGAGAATGCGGTGGGTGTGCTCGAGCCGGTGCCTGAGAGCCGTGCCGCCTTCCTACACTGCATTTTGCACGGCATCGCTAAGGCAGGCGGCAGGCGGGGGTGCCGTTCGTCCATATGTCGGTTGCACGTCAATTGCACGTTGGCTGTAGGTGGAGACGGAGGGCTACGAAGCTCCGGCGGCGCTGGGCATTTCGGGGCTATGGTTTGCGTTTTGCCCAGGCGTCGTCGTTCACCCGCTGGCCGTTTTCCCTGTAGGCGCGTCCGAGTTGCGGCGCGTGCTCACGAGTGGCGGCGGGTCGCAGAATGCGCAGTGGACGGTGATGCGCCAGGCCCTGCTCGGCGTGCCCACGTCGCGGGCGGCCAACATCGACGCCGCCTATGGGGCTGCGCTTCTCGCGGCGAGGGGCGCGGGATGAATCGTTCCCCACCTTTCACCTTCGATAACCGAGCTCTTATCCTCGATCTCAGCGAATTTTGCCAGAGTCTGTTCTTGCGCGCGCGAACCGCGCGCGTTCGCTGGCGCGAGACACCGAGAGATAGTGTTTGTAGTTTACGCGGTACATTTTCTTCTTCTTGATTACACATCGGGATAAATAGCGGCGCTGTGCTCTGCCGCCTCTGGGGTCGGCCCCCCGCCCCATGGCCCCCCTAGTGGGCCCCTGCCGGTCGTTTCGCTCGCTCGCAACTCTTTAGAGATGCGGCGGACGCGGCCGTCACCTGACAGTCATCCGCGTGGCCGAGCCGCACCGCGCCTCGATATGCTGCTCCATGCCTCCCCCGATATGCTGCTCCCTGCCCCAAGCATGCATAGCCTCCGGCGGGTGGGGAGGCGGGTGGGTCGGGTGCGGCGCCACTGCATGCGACACCAGCTGCGGCTGGTACAAACACCATCCTGGCTGCTGCGACTGCTTCTGAGACTGCTGCTGCGGCGGCGGCGGCGGCTGCGGCGGCTGCTGCTGCTGGAGCCGCTGCCGCGGCGTCTGCTCTAGCTTGCTGCCCCACCGCTGTGGTTGCGGCTTCTGCGGCGGCTGCGGCGGCTGCGGCGGCTGCGGCTGCTGCGGCTTGCCGCCCCACGGGCGCTCGCTCTCTGCTTTCCACGTGATCGATTTTGGCGACTCGGTGCTCCACACCGGCTTGGCCAGCAGCGACGCGATGGTCTCCGGCTCCCCGCCTAGCGGTGGCGCCTGCACTGCCATCGGCGACCAGAGCAGCGAGGACCTATGGAGTGGAGACGGGAGGCGTGGATCGGCGAATCCAGGAGAGGGGCGGCAGCGCATCTAGGAAAGCGCACAGCTCGTGCAGCGACGACGAAAACGCACCCAAGCGCGGCTTCGCGACGGCGGCCGCGGGGTACTCGACGCGAGCCGCGTGGATAGCGGCAAGGGGCGGCACGACAGCCTCCGGCGCGTCCTGCTCCAAGTTGACCCACCCTTTCCAGAAGGGGTCCGACGCGTCGCCAAGGGCGCAGACCTGCGGGCAGGCGAGCCGTTGGCACATCTCACAGGGCACAGTCGCGGGCGTGGGCGCCGCGGCGGTGACGGCGCGGGAGGAGGGGGGCGGATGCTGGAGTGCCACTCACCAGCGCGCGCATCTCCTCCTTGTCGGGGATGAGGCGGAAGGTGAGCCACTTGCAAAACTCAATCTCGAGCGCGTTGAGCTCGCCGACCGAGATCCCTGCGGGAGGATATGTGCTGTCGGAGGAGAGCCCTCACCCCCCATCCGAGGCGAGGTGCGAGCGCGCTGTGCCGGGGGTGCCTCACCGCCGCATTGCGCCATGAACGAATTGGCGTGGAAGACGTCATCGGACGACTTGGAGGCGAGGACCAGCGCGGTCACGAGTAGCCGGTGCACGTTGTGATGCGTCAGGCATAGAGACGGGCCACCTGCCTGAGCGATCCTGCCTAGGTACGCGAGGGCAATGAGGAAGCACATGTCGTCGAAGCGGGTGTAGCGGCGGATGCGCTGCAGGTAGGAGTGCACGGACATGCATGGCGCCTCGACGGAGTCAAACGACGTCGGAGAGGTTGCCCGCAGATCCCTGTGTGCACAAGCAGCGCCGGCGTAAAAAAGGTGCGCCGCGCGAGGGGCGGTGCCGCAAAATGGCGCGGGGATCGGTGCCTGTTGCAGTCGCACAGGCGGCCGATGACGTGCGCGATGGTGGTCAGGTACGAGTCGTCTGCGAGCGCGGACATCGCGGCTCGTGACAGAGGGCCGATCTCGTGCACTTGCCGCAATGACAAGCGCAAACTAGAATCCTGAATGGCCTCTTCGAGCCGTCGGAGGACTTCGCAGCCCTTCCCACTGGAGCGGTACCAGTTGTGCCCTGGCGGTTGCATGCGGCAGTTGATGACTCATCAGGCGCCGAGATGAGGGAAAGCGATTCCTGCCTTGCGATCGTCTAGATGTTACCTCACTACTGTCAGTGCAGGCGCCACTGGCTGGCTGGCGCCTTCTGCTGCACATGTGTGCTCATCACGAGCAGGCAGGCATCATATTGCTGTTGGCCCTTCCGCTCCCATATGTACCTCCTGCGCTGGTCATCGCTGCCACTTTGCTTTGTGATGTTTTGACCCTCGCCTTTTCAGTGGCGCTGACCTTCCCATTTGTGCCCGCGAATCCGTCCACGCGGCCAAGAAAGAGGGGCGCCTCCAGGCATCGCCCTGAATATCATGGGTCAGGAGGGGCTGCTCTTGCGACTGACGTGTGTTCTACATTTCGATCTACATTCGTAATGCGCTCGCCTCTGTGCACCATTATCGTCTTACCCGAGCGCTATTTGGCCAGGGGAGGGGCTCTGCTCTATGTATATTTGCCCTTGTGCTATCTTCGCCATCTCCCATCTACTTGCGCACTTTACTTTTGGGCTCTTTTATGGCGTTTCCAATGGAGCTCGATCTTCTCCCCTCAGTGCCTCGTGTTTGGTGGCCCTCGATGCTAGCACTTCTCACTGCCACCGCATCCATCTGCACGCACTATGTAGCCAGGAGGGGCTTGGCGTCGCTTAGAGTTTTCAATTACCACTCCCCGAGTACATGTGCTCGGTGGCAGCGTTTGCTATGGATGATAGGTGCAGCCATCATGTGCCCTCATGCGTCAGCGCAGCTGTCCGTGCATGCTGGCGATGCGTCGCATTTGGATGCACCTGCTTCAGTCACGTGGGCAGCAGTCGATACTCGCTGCACGTGGTCATCTGACTCCTCCGTGCTCTGCCTGGATGCAGACGGGCAACTATGTGTCAGTGCTCTCCTTCTTTCGTGTACGTCGTTGCCGCCTGCTTGGCCATGCCGGTGGCTGTGGCTTGCCCATGCGAATGAAGTTCTTGGTGACCTTGTTAGTGCTATGGGCCTTCTAATCATCACGCGTCTCTCCAACTTGACAGCTTGCACCACCGCCATATGCCTGGTCGTTTTGTTGGGGCGGCATTCTCTTGCCTTGCTGTTGCCTACCCTTGTTGACTTTATTGGCTACTATTCATCGCCGGTCGACGCTGCAGTCGCCGTTGCCTTGGCCACACCCACGCTCGCGATCACTTTGTCTCGGATATGGCAATAGCCACTCACTCATGACTCTCATACTCCGTCTGTGGTGGTTGGCTCTGCTTCTTCTCGGGCGCTGGCTGGGAGTAGCAGTTCTATGTCTCCTGGTATGACGTATACGATGGGGGCGTGCCCCCGCCTGATCCGTCACCGTCGTATCCTTCACAGCAGAGCCCTGTGCTACGTGATACCCCCTGGCAGAGTCCCTGCATGCTACGTGATACCTGTCGTATGCTGCGTGGTTTACGCATTCCCATTTCCATATCCATGTGCCATGTGCTAGTATGAGCCGATGTGGTGTGCTATGTGGACCTGCTCGCGCTCAGACGCGGGTATTTTGCCATACCTTGGTATTCTGGGTCTATGCTTTGCACCTACGGGATGTGATGTGTCTTTCCATGATTCATTCTGTGTTTTCGTGATTCATTCTACGTGATCATATTATGATTGGTGTGATGGAGCATGACTGCTACAAACTACTGCCTCTATTGATAGCGACGCTTGAGGGGCCTCTGGTGCTGTTGTAGCCCTCGCGCCCACGTTCGGGCTAGGAGGGGCTGTCTCCGGCCCTATGCGTCGTGAGCCCATTGCGGACACACGCATTGCATGCTGCATGTGCATGTACACTGCAGCCTCGCATGCAGGAGGAAAACGGACAATTAGGGAGGGGTGGAAGAAATGTGAAACGCTTCGGATTTGTGAAACCCCTCTCTCGACTTTTTTCGCGAGCCACAGGCGCTCGCCCTGTGAGCCACAGCGCCTCCGGACAGCGTGCCGAGCGCCTGCTACAGGCCTGCCTGCAGCCCAGCCGCACTCGCTGCGGCGGCAGCTAGTCGGTTCGGTCTGGACTCGCGCGCGCCGAGATGGGAACCCAACACACGGCGCGTCGACCCGCCTACGCTTTTGCAACAAAGTCTGCTTGGCTTGTGCAGGTGATGCCCAGAGCAGCAGAGACGACGCCGGCAGCCTCGGCTCGACCTCGAAGGCGGATCTCGTGGCCAAAAACCTGTGCTCTATTCGTCGGTGGTTCACAGTAGACGTCTGTGTAGGGAAGCTCTCGCGTCGACTCGGCCGCCGAAGACTGTCTATGAGGGCACACCCGAGGAGGCGCCGATTTCAAGCACCGTGCGGCGGTGGCCAGGTCACAGGCATCGGCTGTGACACTGGAGAGTCGAGCAGCGGCACTGAACTTCCCTACAGGTCATTCCAGCGACCCACGGAGTACGGTCTCAGCGCACAATCACTCTACTAGATCCCATCCTTGCCGGGCCTCTGCGAATGTAGGTACCGAGTTCATGCGTGGCCAGGTTGCAGGCCCATACTGCCTGGTCTCCAGCACCTATGATCACCGCGCCAGGCCGCAGTCGACGACTTTTGTGTGCGCTGGCCGCACTCAACCGTTGAGTCGCGGTGTATCAGTCTGACCACACTCGGGACCGCGTAGGCGATGTGGGCGACTCTGGCCGTCCTGCATATGACCGACCATGACCCAGGAGGAGTGTACACGAGACATATCGTACATGGCTGGCGTTCTCGCGGCAGCACTATCGCGTGCGGCCGAGTGCGAGCTTCCGTGCCCGGTGCCAGACGCACTCGGCGCCAGACGTCCTCGGGAGCTCGCAGTTTTGCCATACCTGCCTGCCCTCCCACTGGCTCGGCGCTCCTGGTCCCTACCCTCGTAGGCAAGGCTGAGCGATCCCGAGCTCCAGGGCGCCATCGCCGTGCTCGGCGGCGCCGCCAAGGGCGCGAAAGACGCGCTCACAAAGGACTAGACGCGCTGCTGCTAAAGAAGCCGGGCACGCTCGTCGCGAGAAGTGGCTGCCGCCGTCCCCGCTGCGGATAGAGCCACCTCTCCGGCTGCCTGCTCCGAGCTCGCCGTCCGGCGGCGCACACTGTTTCCCAAAAAGTCGTCCCTCTCCTCCCTCCCGTCCGACACCACAACCTCCGACGCCTCATCCTGGACCACTCCGGCTGACGC